TGGAACACAAAAGTTGGAAACAAAGAAGGATCAATAGTTGGAAAATATGGTCTTGGTGATAGAAACAATGCAGGAGATCACATGATAGAATTTTGCAAGTCCAACAACTTCTTCATTGCAAATACCTTTTTTCAACAACATAAACAGCAACTGCACACATGGACCTCACCAGATGGAATACACAGGAAACAAGTTGACTACATCTGTGGAAAGAGACTATGGAAAAGCCAATATGATCAGTCAGGACAAGGCCAGGGGCAGACTGCAGAACAGACCATCAATTGCTCATATGCAAGTTCAATCTGAAGCTGAAGAAAATGAGGATAAGTCCACAAGAGCCAAAATGCAACCTTGAGTATCTTCTACCTGAATTTAGAGACCATCTCAAGAATAGACTTGACGCATTGAACACTAATGACCGAAAACCAGATGAGTTATGGAATGACATCAAGGACAGCATACATGAAGAAAGCAAGAGGTCATTAAAAAGACAGGAAAGAGAGAAAAGACCAAAATGGATGTCAGTAGAGACTCTGAAACTTGCTCTTGAACATTGAATAGCTAAAGCAAATGGAAGAAATGATGAAGTAAAAGAGCTGAACAGAAGATTTCAAAGGGTGGCTCGAGAAGACAAAGTAAAATATTATAAGGAAATGTGCAAAGACCTGGAGTTAGAAAACCAAGAGGGAAGAACACTTGGCATTTCTCAAGCTGAAAGAACTGAAGAAAGATTCAATCCTAGATGCAATATTGAAAGATTCTACAGGAAAAATATTAAACAAAAGGGGAAGCTTCAAAAGAAGATGGAAGGAATACGCAGAGTCACTATACCAAAGAGAATTGGTCGACATTCAGCCATTTCAGGAGGCAGCATATGATCAGGAACCAGTGGTACTGAAGGAAGAGGTCCAAGCTACACTGAAGGCATTGGCAAAAAACAAGAGCTCAGGAATTGATGGACTACCAACCAAGATATTTCAACAAACAGATGCAGAGCTGAAAGTGCTTAACTGTCTATGCCAAGAAATTTGGAAGACAGCTATCTGGCCAATCAGCTGGAAGAGATCCATATTTATGCCTATTCCAAAGAAAGGTGATCCCACTAAATGCAGAAATTATCAAACAATATCATTAATATCACACACAAGTAAAATTTTGCTGAAGATTATTCAAAAGCGGCTACAGCTAATGTACATTAACAGACCACTGCCAGAAATTCAAGCTGGATTCAGAACAGGATGTGGAACAGAACAAGGTAATACTGCATGGTTTAAAATCAGGAAAGGTGTGTGTCAGGGTTGTATCCTTTCGCTATATTCATACCTTCTGTATGCTGAGCAAATATTCCAAGAAGCTTGACTATATGAAGAAGAACACAACATCAGTATAGGAGAGAGACTCATTAACAACCTGCCTTGTGCAGATGACACAACCTTGCTTCCTGAAAGTGAAGAGGACTTGAAGTACTTACTGATGAAGTTTAAAGGCTACAGCCTTCAGTATGGATTACCCCTCAACATAAAGAAAACAAAAATCCTCACAACTGGACCAATAAACAACATCATGATAAATGGAGAAAAGATTGAAGTTGTCAAGGATTTCGTTTTA